GTGTCCGGACTGGAAGGGGGGTGAAAGTGGAACTGGAAGGGGGGAAAGTGTCCGGACTGGAAGGGGGGGAAAGTGTCCGGACTGGAAGGGGGGAAAGTGTCCAGACTGGAAGGGGGGGAAAGTGTCCGGACTGGAAGGGGGGGAAAGTGTCCAGACTGGAAGGGGGGAAAGTGTCCGGACTGGAAGGGGGGGAAGTGTCCGGACTGGAAGGGGGGGAAGTGTCCGGACTGGAAGGGGGGACAAGTGTCCGGACTGGAAGGGGGGGAAGTGTCCCAGGACTGGAACTGGGGGGGGAAAGTGTCCGGACTGGAAGGGGGGGGGAAGGAAGTGTCCGGACTGGAAGGGGGGACTGGAAGTGTCCGGACGGACTGGAAGGGGGGGAAGTGTCTGAACTGGAAGGGGGGGGGGGGAAGCATCTGGACTGGAAGTGGTTAACAACCATCTACCATGTTATAAATTATCACTTGACATGCGGTGATGACCTCATTACTGATGTTTTACCATAGTGGTTATTTTCCGCTACATTCTTAGTGAAATGGACATTTACAGAATTGTTTCCTCATGTGTTGTTATTCCGCCTTTTTTAGAGCATTATTTGGCTCTCAGTGAATTGACCTCGTAGTCTCTTTAGTCTCATTAGTAATCCAAGTTGTAGTTACCTGGCGAGAAAGAAGGAATTATATGAAGGAATGTTTCCCCTGCAGGAGGAGATTGGATCGTGCTTTGCTTTTTCTTTTGCCTTCCTCTGGATCCACTGCGGGTGGAGGATTATAACTTTAAAAAAAATGGTGGAACTGGATGGACTTTTGTCTTTTTTCAGCCAGACTAACTATGGAACTATGAGATGATCTCTTGCCAAAACCCAAGTTGTAAGCCAGAAAGAAGTCATTATCTGAGATATCGTCTCACCAAAATCCACCTCTGAGGCAGCATAAGGATTGGGTTGCTGTTCTGGAAGGGTTCAAGCCGCAGTTCCGGGACTTCGAAGCAGCCTGGATCTGACTGCAAGTTTACTTCAAGGGATCTGGTCTGGAGAAGGATTGTCTCTCTTGTTGAGTGATGTCACCCCCACCACCACCACCACCACATGGTCTTCAGCTGTGGGAATAGCCAGTTCAGTGTTCACATTTATTTTGGGAGAAGACTGTTTGCTGATTGATTTCGAGTATCCCATCCCCCAATTCCTCTTCTGTTACAAGTTCTTCAAGCAATAAATCTTAAAAGACATCCCCTAGACCAGGGGTGGGCAAACTTTTTGACTTGAGGGCCGCAATGGGTTCATATATTGGACCCGGGGGCCGGGCCAAGAGTAGATGAATGATGTGTATGTGTCATCCATAGTAAGTATAGTAATATTCCCCCATAGTAAGCATAGTAATTAATCCCCCATATAGTAATTCATCCCCCATATAGTAATTAATCCCCCATATAGTAATTCATCCCCCCTATAGTAATTAATCCCCCATATAGTAATTCATCCCCCATATAGTAATTCATCCCCCATATAGTAATTCATCCCCCATAGTAATTCATCCCCCATATAGTAATTCATCCCCCATATAGTAATTCATATAGTAATTCATCCCCCATAGTAATTAATCCCCATATAGTAATTCATCCCCCATAGTAATTCATCCCCCATAGTAATTCATCCCCCATAGTAATTCATCCCCCATATAGTAATTCATCCCCCATATAGTAATTCATCCCCCATATAGTAATTCATCCCCCATAGTAATTCATCCCCCATATAGTAACTCATCCCCCCTAGTAATTCATCCCCCATATAGTAATTAATCCCCCATATAGTAATTCATCCCCCATAGTAATTCATCCCCCATATAGTAATTCATCCCCCCTATAGTAATTAATCCCCCTTATAGTAATTCATCCCCCATAGTAATTCATCCCCCATATAGTAATTCATCCCCCATAGTAATTCATCCCCCATATAAATTCATCCCCCCTATAGTAATTCATCCCCCATATAGTAATTCATCCCCCATATAGTAATTCATCCCCCATATAGTAATTCATCCCCCATAGTAATTCGTCCCCCCTATAGTAATTCATCCCCCATAGTAATTCATCCAACCTATAGTAATTCATCCCCCATAGTAATTCATCCCCCATAGTAATTCATCCCCCATATAGTAATTCATCCCCCATATAGTAATTCATCCCCCCCCTATAGTAATTCATCCCCCATATAGTAATTCATCCCCCATAGTAATTCATCCAACCTATAGTAATTCATCCCCCCTATAGTAATTCATCCCCCCCCATATAGTAATTCATCCCCCATAGTAATTCATCCCCCATATAGTAATTCATCCCCCCTATAGTAATTCATCCCCCCTATAGTAATTCATCCCCCATAGTAATTTATCCCCCATAGTAATTTATCCCCCATATAGTAATTCATCCCCCATATAGTAATTCATCCCCCATAGTAATTCATCCCCCATATAGTAATTCATCCCCCATAGTAATTCATCCCCCATATAGTAATTCATCCCCCATAGTAATTCATCCCCCCTATAGTAATTCATCCCCCCTATAGTAATTCATGCCCCCTATAGTAATTCATCCCCCATAGTAATTCATCCCCCATATAGTAATTCATCCCCCCTAGTAATTCATCCCCCATAGTAATTCATCCCCCATATAGTAATTCATCCCCCATAGTAATTCATCCCCCATAGTAATTTATCCCCCATATAGTAATTCATCCCCATAGTAATTCATCCCCCATATAGTAATTCATCCCCCATATAGTAATTCATCCCCCATAGTAATTCATCCCCCATAGTAATTCATCCCCCATATAGTAATTCATCCCCCCATATAGTAATTCATCCCCCATATAGTAATTCATCCCCCATAGTAGTATTCCCCCCCCAAGTAGTAAGCCAAGTCCCCCCTGTGTCAATTCACTTACCTTTGCTCCGCGCGTTCCTCTCGCTGTGTTCCCGCGCCGTTCCGGTCTTCAGGGCGGACTGTGAGAGGAGCCTAGCTCCCCTCATGTTCGTCACGCTGCCCCGCCTACACACATCCTGACAGCCAATGTATCACGCTCCGCGGGCCGGATTAAAAGGTCCGCCGGGCCGTAGTTTGCCCATTGCTGCCCTAGACCATGGTGTCAAACTGGCGGCCCTCCAGCTGTTGCCAAACTACGAGTCCCATGAGGCATTGCAAGATTGACAGTTACAAGCATGACTCCCAAAGGCAGAGGCATGATGGGACTTGTAGTTTCACAACAGCTGGAGGGCCGCCAGTTTGACAGCCCTGCTCTAGACTGTTTTTTCTGGAGTCAGAGTGAATGGACTGTTGCTCGGGTGACTGGTGGCCTCCATACTGCTCGGGAAAGAGCCGGTTAAATTCAGCTGCCCTTGCGGGGGAGGCGTTACAGACAAAACAATATAAAAAGACAAAACAAAAGAAGAAAACACATAGGACGAGGGGGGATGGGGGACTGCAGGGAATCGATGTCCAGCCTGTTGGTTCCTCTTACATTTCAGATTTAAATTCATGTGGAAAGGAGAACTCCAGCCCATAGAATCGTGTCTCCAGAAATGTGTTTTCTTGATTTGTTGGTCAGCTGGGTCCTCAATGGTTTTTGGTGTTTTTTTGGTTACCTGTGTATACCCCCTTAGGTGTCACGAAGTTTTTGGGTCCTCTTACAGTCTGCACAGCCAGGCAACACACATCTTCTTCTTCCACGCTTGCACACAGATAGCAAGCAGTCCTTGGCCTTGGTTTTGTGGGTTTATTAAGGGGTAATGAACTTGGATGGGGTTGAGGGATGGATGGGATGCCCAAGGAAACTGCAACTTGAGGACAACTCCACGGACAAACATTCTCTTGCTCTCCAGCCCTCCTAATGTACCACTTCAGACCCCAGATGAAATCTCCTCTTCTCCCATCTTCCTGAGGGAATCCTTGAAGGGCCTAGAAATGGCCACTTTTAAATCAACAGTCCCAGATGGGGGCTAGTTAGGTTTCCCAGCAGAGTGCCCTCTCCCCATATCCGCCTGGGGGGGGGTGTGATTACTCACTAAGTCCTCTCCCGAAAGTTGGTGGGTTGGTGGCTGCCTTCAGGCCTTACGCTGGGCTGGCTCCTTTCCAGGCTGTCCTCTCTCAGGAGACTATTATTATACGGGATTTATATGGCACCAACAGTGTGCGCAGCGCTGTACAAAATGAAGGCAGACATTACAGTTACAATACAATTTGATACAAGAGGAAACAGAGGGCCCTGATCCTGGAGCTTACAATCTAGGAGGAAAGGTTGAGTGATACAAAAGGTAATATCTGTGGGGGGGAGGATCTGATGGAGGAAATAAATGAAGGGAAAGGTTTTCAGGGATCGTCTAAAGGTGGATAGATTAGGAGACAGCTGAACAGAATTGGGGTAGGGAATTCCATAGGATGGGAGAAAGCTTGGGAGAAGTCCTGGAGGCGAGCATGGGAGGAGGTGACATGTGAACTAGAGAGCAGAAGGTCTTGGGAGGATCAGAGAGAGCGGTTTGGTAGATATCTTGAGACCAGGTTGGTGATGTATCTGGGGGCAGAGCTGTGGATGGCTTTGTAAGTTGTTGTTAGTATTTTGAATTTTATTCATTGGGCGAGTGGAGGCCAGTGGAGGGATTGGCAGAGAGGGGTGGAGGACACTGAATGGAGGCCAGTGGAGAGATTGGTAGAGAGGAGTGGAGGACACTGAATGGAGGGCAGTGGAGGGATTGGCAGAGAGGGGTGGAGGACACTGAATGGAGGCCAGTGGAGGGATTGGTAGAGAGGGTGGAGGACACTGAATGGAGACCAGTGGAGGGATTGGCAGAGAGGGGTGGAGGACACCAGTGAGTGAAGAGGAGTGGAGGACACAATGGAGGCCAGTGGAGGGATTGGCAAAGAGGGGTGGAGGACACTGAATGGAGGCCAGTGGAGAGGGGTTGGCAGAGAGGGCTGGAGGACACTGGCAATGGAGGCCAGTGGAGGGAGGGATGGCAGAGAGGGGTGGAGGACACCAGTGAATGGCAGAGAGCAGAGTGAAGGCCAGTGGATTGGCAAAGAGGGGTGGAGGACACTGAATGGAGGCCAGTGGAGGGATTGGCAGAGAGAGGGGGTGGAGGACACTGAGTGAAGGACAGCGGAGGGATTGGCAGAGAGGGGTGGAGGACACTGAATGGAGACCAGTGGAGGGATTGGCAGAGAGGGGTGGAGGACACTGAATGGAGGTCAGTGGAGGGATTGGCAGAGAGGGGTGGAGGACACTGAACGGTTGGTAAGGTGGATGACCCTGGCAGCAGTATTCATGATGGACTGGAGGGGGGGTGGCCTATGCAAAGGTAAGCCAATGAGGAGGGAGTTGCAGTAATCAAGGCAAGAGATGACCAGGGAGCAAACGAAGAGCTTTGTGGTATCATTGGTTAGGAAGGGGCGTTTTCTGGAGATGTTGCGGAGGTTGAGGTGCCATGATTTGGACAGGGATTGGATGTGGGCCTGAAAGGACAGTTCAGAATCCAGGGAGTTGATAGTGCTGCTATTGATCCTGACTGAGAAATCGGGGGAAGAGGCATGTGGGGGGAGGAAATATTATGAGCTCAGGTTTGGATTGATTGAGTTTGAGGAAGTGGAGTGACATCCAGTCTGATATGTTTGTTAGTAAATCGGTGATACGGGAGGAAACTGACGGGGTGAGCCGAGGAGCAGAAAGATAGATTTGTGTGTCGTCAGCATAGAAGTGGTATTGGAAGCCGTGGGAAGCTATCAGCTGACCCAGGGAGGAGGTGTAGATGGAGAATAGGAGAGGTCCAAGGACAGAACCTTGGGGACCCCGACAGTAAGAGGAGGAGGAGAGGTCCAAGGACAGAACATTGGGGGACCCCGACAGTAAGAGGAGGAGGAGAGGTCCAAGGACAGAACCTTGGGGGACCCCGACAGTAAGAGGAGTAGGAGAGGTCCAAGGACAGAACCTTGGGGGACCCCGACAGTAAGAGGAGTAGGAGAGGTCCAAGGACAGAACCTTGGGGGACCCTGACAGTAAGAGGAGTAGGAGAGGAGGAGGTAGAGTGGTGACACTGAAGGTGCGGTGAGATAGTTAAGATTCGAACCAATGGAGAGTACAGTCAGGGAGACCCAGTAAATAGAGTTTTTTGAGGAGAAGGGGGTGGTCCTCCCTTCCAGCTCCACAGTATTCTGTGAATGGGAAATCTGCAAGTTCCATCAGCCTTTGTGGCTGTTGGTTTGTAGTGTTCAATGAACTACCACAGCGTTCCACAGGAGCTCAGTGACTCCAAGCGTGGTCCCGTGATAGGTGGTCACCTGGGCAATAAGTCCATCCGTGACATTTCCTGGCTACTAAATATTCCACGCTCAACTGTTAGTGGGATTATAACAAAGTGGAAGCCACTGGGAACAACAGCCACTCAGCCACCAAGTGGTAGGCCACGTCACATGACAGGGCGGGGTCAGCGCATGCTGAAGCGCACAGTGCGCAGAAGTCGCCAACTGTCTGCAGAGTCAATAGCTAAAGACCTCCAAACTTGGTGTGGCCTTCAGATGAGCACAACACTTTTTTTTTGTGAATGGGGAGCGGGTACCATGTACCCCCATACTCATTTTACATAGGGAGGGAGGCGGGATCTGGGGGCCTTCTTGATTTCTTTTGCTTCTATTGGAATGACACAAAAAAGTGGACCCTGGGGGGCCTTGGAAAAATGTCTAAAAATTGCCCAAAACTTGTAAACAAGCCAGTGGAACAAGCCGACCTTTTAGTTACACAAAGCCCCAGGTTATCATTGTGCGCCATTACAACCTTCTAGCCGCCGGCGCCCTGACAACCAATGACATCATCGCTTGATAAGGAGCATGTCAGCTGCCTGCCCAGCATCCTAGTGTGACCCTCCCCACCCCTCTCCATCAGTGCTGGGGTCACATTAGCTCAGTGATGGAGAAAAAACTGAGGGAGAGGAGAAACATTGGAATACTAGTCAGTACCAGGGTGCAAAAGTGTATTTGCTTTGGAAGAATAAATCCCCTCTAATGTTGGGGGTCCTACAGGTGTGGATGTTGCTGCCTTAGAGAGAACTATTAGAATAGTTTTTCACATTTTAGAATGGGGGGCCTCGGGACTGTCCATAATTCTAAAGGGGGCCTCGGGGACTATCCATAGTTCTAAAGGGGACCTCGGGACTGTCCATAATTCTAAAGGGTGCCTTCGGGACTATCCATAATTCTAAAGGGGACCTCGGGGGGACTGTCCATAATTCTAAAGGGGGCCTCGGGATTGTCCATAATTCTAAAGGGGGCCTCGGGACTATCCATAGTTCTAAAGGGGACCTCGGGACTGTCCATAATTCTAAAGGGTGCCTCGGGACTGTCCATAATTCTAAAGGGTGCCTCGGGACTGTCCATAATTCTAAAGGGGGCCTGGGACTGTCCATAATTCTAAAGGGGACCTCGGGACTGTCCATAATTCTAAAAGGGACCTCGGGACTGTCCATAATTCTAAAGGGGGCCTCAGGGACTGTCCATAATTCTAAAGGGGGGGCCTCGGGACTGTCCATAATTCTAAAGGGGCCTGGGGACTGTCCATAATTCTAAAGGGGGCCTAAAGGGGGGGCCTCGGGACTGTCCATAATTCTAAAGGGTGCCTCGGGACTATCGATAGTTCTAAAGGGGGACCTCGGGACTGTCCATAATTCTAAAGGGGGCCTCAGGACTGTCCATAATTCCAAAGGGTGCCTCGGGACGGTCCATAATTTTAAAGGGGGCCTCAGGACTGTCCATAATTCCAAAGGGTGCCTCGGGACTGTCCATAATTTTAAAGGGTGCCTCAGGATTGTTCATAATTCCAAAGGGTGCCTCGGGACTGTCCATAATTTTAAAGGGTGCCTCAGGATTGTTCATAATTCCAAAGGGTGCCTCGGGACTGTCCATAATTTTAAAGGGTGCCTCAGGATTGTTCATAATTCCAAAGGGTGCCTCAGGACTGTCCATAATTTTAAAGGGTGCCTCAGGACTGTCCATAATTGTAAAGGGCGCCTTGACTGAAAAAAGGTGGAGAAGCACTGCTGTAGGGCACCAATAAGAAGTGTACCTTATCTCCGGCTCCCCCCAGCAGTCAGCCTTCCTCTCCTCTCTTTGACACTCCAGGCTGTGGATGAGATCTCAGCGACCTCACTTACCAACAGTCCTGCATTGTACCTGATGATGTCAAAGTGCAACCGATGGACTTTGAGGGACTGGTCGCACAGGATGGAGAATGCCTGCTGGAGAAGGGAAAAGGCACCCTAGATGGACATCTAACCCTAGGCACTGCAAGGGGTGACCTCGGACTTTGCCTGCAGGCCAGCTTTGAGCCTGCCTGTGTACATTGGTTATCCTCACACCCAACAAGGACATGTAGCTTCTGGGTCCTGGAATCAGCAAATACGGAAAGGAAGGATCAGGATAGGTATGACAGCCCTGGAGAGGCACCTTTACTTCTAACAAGCATGAAGTCAGGGCGATGTGCAGAAACGTTCGATGAAAGCAGAGCAACCAACTGAATCTAAAATGAAGTTTGCTCCTCATCTGATTGGTCGCCGTGAGTTATTACATCCTGTAAAATGAGGACCGTACCGTCCTTTACCGACACATCCTCCTCCACGGTGCGGTGTAGACCATACCATAGACCATGACAAGCCAACAGAACACTTTCCTCTTCACCAAATATCTTTATTATGTGAATATAAATACATTATATCTACCAAATAATTCCCATCATAGGAATACGGCAGCAGTTCCATCCCAACCAACCCTCCGCAGTACAGTCCATGGGAAACCACAACACGCACCTTCTAATGGAGGGATCATACGTGTTCATGGCCTATGCCTGCCACCACCTTCACCTTCCACACCAATAGCAGGAAATATCCAGACGGGCCAACGGCTCTCTCTAATATTCGTTGGCATGCAGGTGTCTCCACAGGGGGGCGCTGCATTCCCGGGCCCACAGCCATCTCCTAATCAGACCATAAGGCACGGGGGTCAAACTGGCGGCCCTCCAGATGTTGCCAAACTACAAGTCCCATGAGGCATTGCAAGATTGACACCTCTGCCATAAGGAGTGGGATCGCCAAGTGATCTTACGTTCTTTGGGGCCCGCGTTGACAGGCTGGGATGGGCAATGCAGAGCACTCTTCGCATAGTTTGGGGCCAATTAGAGTTCAGTGCTGTCCACCTACTGGTGCATTCCCATTGACTCGTATGGTGAGATACCCACATGGAAGAAAAGAATATTTAAAAATAATCTTCCCAAACATATTGATATATGTTTGAAATACTACAATTTTGGCCGTATTCAATATATTTAAAGAAAAAAAAATTATATATATATATATATATATATATATACACACACAGTATATGTACTCAGTATATTTAAAAAAAAAAAAAAAAAAATATATATATATATATATATATATATAGTATGTTGAAATGTGTGTTTTTTATATATTACAAAATGTATGAAAAATATTTTATAAAATATATATTTTTTACATGTAAAAAAGTAATTTTAACAGATATTTTTACATATATTTGTAAATGCATTCCAAAAATGTAGATTAAATGTATTTTTAAAAGACACGCAGTATATTTGAAAATGTATTTTTAAAAATAATTTTTATATATTTTGTAATAAAAACGCATTTCAGCATACAGTATGTATATATATATATATATATTTTTTTAAATTGAAATATATTGAATATAGCCAAAATTTAAGTATTTGTATTTTTAAAAATATTATTCATATATTTTGTAATAAAAACGCATGTCAACATACAGTATATATATATATATTTGAAATATATTGAAAACGGCCAAAATTGTAGTATTTCATATATATGTCAACATATTTGGGAAGAATATTTTTAAAATAGATTTCAAATATATTTTTCTTCCATGTGGATAAGCAGCTCTGAAGGAACAAAGTCCCACCGGCACAGTAGCCTACAACCACATTCTTTAGAGCAGATCTTCCATGTAAACAGAAAAGCCCCAAATTTTTGCAGCTCTTTACTCATGATTGCATCAATAAATGTATTTTTTAAGTAGTATCAGTGCCTGGATCTGACCCTGTATCAGCCAATCCTCTATAAAGCAGAGCTCAGACTGGGAGAGGAAGAAGCAGCACAAGGAGCCGGTCATCTGTGCTGCAGCGCTCATAAGGAGCACACTGATAGGAGGAGAGAGGGGGAGTGACAGAGAGATGAGCCCATCAGTCTGCTGCTTCTCCTTTCATGGTCCAATCCAGGCTGGAGGAGGGGTAAGACCAGTAAGTGTTACTTAACATAAAAAAAAACAAAAAACATGACTCTTGCAATTCCAACCAGGACCGGACTGTGCTGTGTGGCAGAGCTGAGTAAATCTCAGGACTGGACAGAAAGGAACAACTCCTTTGGCATGTGAAGCGGATCTCTCTATATCCCATCTGTGCCTTCAGCTGTCATATTGGGCCGACCTAGATATACAGCGATTGTTTTCCTGTGGACTCTGCCCTCAGTGTGATTATAGATGCTGAGCTCCAGTCTATTGCCCACTAGACCTCCATCAGTCCATGACATAGAGCCCATGGTGTGGGCCGCTCGCCCTCTGCGCGTTGCTGGCGTCATGCTTCATAGAAGGGGAATACGAGACGGCTCCCACAGCTTGCGGGCCAGGTCATGGCACTGTTGTATGATGAAATCCGGCGGGATGATGCCCAGGTGCAATGTCAGCAGTTCATAGCACTTCACCGGCTCCACTGGATGGCTTTTGCAGTAATAACGAAGAAGTTTCCTAAACAGGAAAGAAAATCATTCATTTCAGTCAAAATGTTCAATAAAGTCATATAGACGGACGACAGACCGAATTACATTCATACATCCAGGGATTTCCCTCAGGAAATAGGTGCAGGTTCATCAAATAGTGTGTGTTGTCAAGAATGCAGAGTTCGGGGGTGTGGGCTGCATACAGGGTGCAGAGTTCGGGGGTGGGCTGCATACAGGGAGAGTACATGCGTAGGGAACAGAGTAGGGGGGTGGGGTGCATACAGGGAGCAGAGTAGGGGGGTGGGGCTGCATACAGGGAGCAGAGTTCGGGGTGGGCTGCATACAGGGAGCAGAGTTCGGGGGGGTGGTGCTGCGTACAGGGTGCAGAGTTCGGGGGTGGGCTGCGTACAGGGAGCAGAGTTCGGGGGGGGGCTGCATACAGGGAGCAGAGTAGTGGGGTGGGCTGCATACAGGGTGCAGAGTTCGGGGGGGTGGGCTGAGTGCATACAGGGTGGGCTGCGTAGAGAGTTCGGGGGTGGGCTGCATACAGGGTGCAGAGTTCGGGGGTGGGCTGCATACAGGGACAGGGTAGGGGGCAGAGTTCAAGGGGGGGGGGCTGCATACAGGGTGCAGAGTAAGGGCTGGGGTGCAGAGTGGGGGGGTGGGCTGCATACAAAGTGAAGGGCCGTGTATATGTGTGGGTGGGGGGGGGGGCGCACTGAGATCCCGGCTGAGATCCCGGCTAGAGAACGCACTGGAGTTCTGAGATCCCAGCTAGAGAACGCACGGAGATCCCGTTAGGAGAACCCGGCTAGAGAACGCACGGAGTTCCCGGCTAGAGAACGCACTGAGATCCCGGCTAGAGAACGCACTGAGATCCCGGCTAGAGAACGCACTGAGATCCCGGCTAGAGAACGCACTGAGATCCCGGCTAGAGAACGCACTGAGTTCCCCGCTCCCGGCTAGAGAACGCACTGAGATCCCGGCTAGAGAACGCACGGAGTTCCCCGCTAGAGAACGCACTGAGATCCCGGCTAGAGAACGCACTGAGTTCCCCGCTAGAGAACGCACTGAGATCCCGGCTAGAGAACGCCCGGAGCTCCCGGCTAGAGAACGTCCGGAGCTCCCGGCTAGAGAACGCACTGAGATCCCGGCTAGCTAGATCCCGGCTAGAGAACGCACTGAGATTCCCGCTAGAGAACGCACTGAGTTCCCCGCTAGAGAACGCACTGAGATCCCGGCTAGAGAACGCACTGAGATCCCGGCTAGAGAACGCACTGAGATCCCGGCTAGAGAACGCCCGGAGTTCCCGGCTAGAGAACGCCCGAGGTCCCGGCTAGAGAACGCCCGGAGGTCCCAGCTAGAGAACGCACTGAGATATCAGCTAAAGAACGCACGGAGCTCCCAGCTAGCAAACGCACTGAGATCCCAGCTAGAAAACGCCCGGAGGTCCCAGCTAGAGAACGCACTGAGATCCCGGCTAGAGAATGCACTGAGATCCCAGCTAGCGAACGCACAGAGACCCCGGCTAGAGAACGCACAGAGATCCCAGCTAGAGAACGCACGGAGCTCCTAGCTAGAGAGCGCACGGAGCTCCCAGCTAGAGAACGCACAGAGATCCCAGCAAGAGAACGCACGGAGATCCCGGCTAGAGAACGCACGGAGATCCCGGCTAGAGAACGCAGGGAGTTCCCGGCTAGAGAGCACACGGAGCTCCCAGCTACAACGCACGGAGCTCCCAGAGAGAGAACGCACGGAGCTCCCAGCTACAGAACGCACGGAGTTCCCAGCTAGAGAGCACACGGAGCTCCCAGCTAGAGAACGCACGGAGTTCCCAGCTAGAGAACGCACGGAGTTCCCGGCTACAGAACGCACGGAGTTCCCGGCTAGAGAGCACAACGGAGCTCCCAGCTAGAGAACGCACGGAGATCCCAGCTAGAGAACGCACGGAGGTCCCGGCTAGAGAACGCATGGAGCTTCCCAGCTAGAGAACGCACGGAGCTCCCAGCTAGAGAACGCACGGAGGTCCCGGCTAGAGAACGCATGGAGTTCCCAGCTAGAGAACGCACGGAGATCCCAGCTAGAGAACGCACGGAGATCCCAGCTAGAGAACGCACGGAGGTCCCGGCTAGAGAACGCATGGAGCTCCCAGCTAGAGAACGCACGGAGCTCCCAGCTAGAGAACGCACGGAGCTCCCAGCTAGAGAGCACACGGAGCTCCCAGCTAGAGAGCACACG